ATTACATTACAAAGCCAGCACTGTCATCACCTATCATGGGTCCAAGCACACAAAAGTAGGCCATTTCTCATGGTCACAAAGACAAGACTAAGGAAGAGGTCTTTTATCAAGTTTGGAAATTGTTACCTGAGGCAAAATTGTCCTGAGGTTGTTGGTCTGGAGACTCTGAACTCCTTATGCCATGGAGGTTACTCGCAAACAGACTTAAGAGACCTGTGTCTGTCCCTCTCCCTGTATGCATTTTCTATGGTAGACAATGCTAAAATACTGAGCAAGGCAACAAGCAGTAGAAGCAGGGAATAGAAGGCCAAAAAGGATTTTACCAAAGAATTACAAATCTGATTACATAAAAAAATTCCAAGACATCTTCCTTGGTAAACAAAGAATACTGAAGTGCTTCAATAAAATATTGATGCTTCCTTCCACATGATTTTAGCTCCCAGCCTTGAGCAGGTAGCATGTCACAGAGAAAATCACAAGGGGATCTCTGATGTGAAGGCTATTAGTGAGTTTAGAGCTTTGGCTGAACCTGTATTTTTGTGTAGACCTTCCAGCTACAGACCACCGGGAACTCACCTGCAGCTGAATAAATTGGGTTTACACATCGTCCTGCAAGGGAGGACACACAGGCAAGATATGGAGTGTCTCGGTAAAATGGTGCTGGGATATATCACAGGGTTTAGGTTCTTGCTGGTCAGTCCTGGGGCTTTGCTCAGGATTACATGCCATCCGGAAGTAGGATGGCGGGAATGTTGTCATGTGTGGGATGATGTGAGGCTAAGCCTGTCATTGGCAAATACGCTTTCCGTATTAGCCAGGATAGAGGGCTTTCTATCATTTTTGTGGTGTGTGTGCTCTTACTTTTGTCTGTGTTCAGAGATGATTACAGAGTGGTCTTGTTTTTGTTTCGAATTTTCAGGGTCACTCAACTGTCTTGTCTGACATTGGTGTTCTGTGAGATTATTCACGTTCAACACACCACGGTGTGCTTGGAGTGCCAAGCCAACTCCTAGCAACACCGGGGCCTAGCTGATAGAGCCCAGGCGCTATGTCATGGACTATGTTCCCCTTTCTCAGTAGCTAAAGAGGTAACGTGACAGCTGGAAGAAGTTGGCTGGACAGCAGAAGTTGACCAAGACATCTCAACGCAAACGTTGGCAGTGTCCAGGTATCCTGTAAAAGAGAGAACCACTGTCTCTTAGTACTTTACTCCCACATTTGTGTGTTTTAGATATCCACATCCTCTGACATTTCCTTATTTGTGTGTTTTCATTTTTTAGAGCAAGAGGGAGAGGGAAAAAGCATCGCCTAATGAGGCATGATCATGTCATAATTCATTTTCTCTCATTTTTCCATCCATCTGGGGATTAGGGCACACATCATGCACACACACACCTGATGTGTCTGTTTTTTTTTTTTTTTTTTTTTTGTGGGGGTTTTTTTTTTTTTTTTTTCTGTAGGGCATGCATGCTCACCAGAAAGACAGAGAGAGAAAGACAGACAGAAAGCAAGAAATCACCCTGGGTGGTGGCCACGCCGCAGTCCCTTCTCTTCCACGCACCCGGTGTGAGTTTATGCCACCACGTCCTGGACTCGAGCTATGGTCAAGTACATGGGAGTTCAGTGACATAGCCATTATGCTAACTGCTGGTCCCCAAGTGCCATTTTTAATATTAGTATTTTGTAAGTATTTACAGGTAGGTGCTTTTAAATAATATTGAATAGACTTAGATCATATCCTTTTCAGATGATCTTTCCAGCATTGAGAGGTCTAAGATCCCCAACTGTATTGGGAGAAATGGTTCTTTTACTTCTTGTCCTTTCACTCTTTTCTAAGTGATTTAAGTGACTCTGAAATATCAGATAAAAGAAACAATAGCAAGGGGATCATCACATTCATGTTACTGTCATGAGGTAAGAGATGCGGTAACCTGTGCAGGGAAAAGGCAAAGAACAGCACTAACAAGACAGATTACACAGAGTATAAATTCAGGAGCAGGGAACGGTGCCTAAAGATACAG